GTACTGTACATCACGTCTGTGCACGTGTGTTCAGGGATTCATACATGATGAAATCCAGTCACCTGTATGTTCCACGTACTCAGCCCACATATTTCCCTCCAATTAAACTGAGCTGTGTGTCAGGTAATGTCAGAAACCGTAGTTCAAACACGCCGTCGCCCTGTCAGGACTTAACGCTGAGCTATTGACAGCTTCAGTCCAAACACATTATGTCGTTACTCGTCTTAATCTGGCGTGTGGTGCTGTCAGCCGCTGTCGACCGCCGCCTCATTACACTCCTCTCAACCTCGGCTGCTGATAACACCCATGGAAGGACGTGTGTGTGTGTGTGTGTGTGTGTGTGTGTGTGTGTGTGTGTGTGTGTGTATGTGTTCAGGAGAACCATGTTTAACTCCACTCAGTGAGACGTCCCCCTCCTTGTCTCGGTGACGCGCTCCAACCTCTTGTTCAGAAGTGGCCCAGATTCAGAACAAACACTCGTGTTCAGGCCGCAATAACGAGACAATTTGTCGCATCTGGAGGGTTTTTGAAGCGTCTGTGACATCACTGCGTGTCCTTGTGTTATTTTGGTACGTATGAGTGTGTCTGTTGACTGTCTGACTCAGATTAGTCCGTGGAGACAATGAAGACTTTCAGAAGCAGAAGAGTGACTGGATTCACCTTACAGGGCCTCATCCTGGTTGTTTTTGCAGTTAAAAGATCATCGGAATAAATAAAGTTTGATTCAAATTAAATTTAAGTGACACTTCTGCCTTTAAGTGCAAAGCCAGGAACAAACTGCATTCGTTGCATGTGTGTCTCTGTTGCATTGCTGATACCACCAGCTCTATCTCTTTACATAGATTTTACAGGTTACTCCACTTTTGGATTTTCTTTTCATTATTAATTAATTTTTGATTTATTTTTGATAGAAAATGTCACTAAAATGTCTCTGTCACATGCAGCTGCTACAGTGGTTAAAAACATTATTATAAATATTTATATTTGTTCATGTCAGTGTCATGTTGAGATTCAGAGAGGTTCCCACTGTCATCAGGCTATACAACAACTCAGCCAAAGGAAGTGGACTAATCTAATTATTATTGTTTATTTATTATTAACTGTTATTATTATTATCACCAATGAGCTAATGGACATATGACTTTTCCCTAGGGCATAAATAAAGTATATATCTATCTAGACATAGAAACTGTAGTGGAAGGAGTCAGTTTTATGTAATATTTTGTAATATAATATTATGTGATGTTGCTGGTGCAATGTCAGTATGACATCAACAGGTCTTTTCTCTGTCTATTTTTGCCAGAAGATGCGTCATGTGTGAAAAATAGGCGAGACGCAGAATCTATAGGTCACGCGACGCAGCATTAAAAACCAAGACGTTCCGCAGCCGCCACGCACACGCTGTGCAGCTAGTGTGATGCCAGCCTCACTGTTATTACAATTTTTACCTTATTTTACGATTATTCAGATAATACTTTGTACAGAATCAGGGCTTCATCTTACACCCTGTGCAAAGCAGTTTTACTTTATTTACTTTATTTATTTTCCGGTCCAGCACCCATGTTTCAAATTCACTCACGCCTATCTGTGCGCCCGTGGGCGTGTTGGTCTTAAAGAGGTGTGTTCAGGCACATTATTGGCGCATTGATATCTTGAAGCAGCTATCTGCTGTCTTGCTTTCTTTAGTTGCAGTACCACAGTTGATCTGTCACTGTGTCCAGGTCCAGTAATGAGACTTTTAGTTTTCTCTTCATTAATCAGTCTGATGCTGTGTTTGTTTTAGCTGTTTGAGCACAGAGATGATCACAGAAACTGCAGAGGCACTTCATGTTTTTAATGTCCATTTAAGAAGAAAATGTAATGATAAAAGAATTATCTTTTCAATTTAACAACAACCTAAACAGCTGCATCAGCTCCTCCAACTCAGGAAGGTAATTTCCTCCATTTTTAATCCATCAACTGTGTAAAAAATATCCTCGTTAGTTTAATCACTTCAGATTTCGTACTCAGCTTCACATGTAGAAAAACACTTCCATGTGACATGTATTATTTCCACCCTGATGAAATAATTGTGAGGTTGAATCTAGTCCACACTGTTCACCATTATCATGCCTGTCATTATTAAAGGCTTTTAACATAATTGTTCTACTTATAAAACTTGTATTTGTTCTACCTCAGAAAACCTGAGGAACTCCTCTGTCCTCACCTTCTGTCTGGTCCACTTTGCTGCTTGGATGATTTTTGTCCTGCAGTTACACAAATATGGATTTATGAGATTTCAGCATCAGTCCATTTTGAATGTACCCAGAAGTGCAGATCACTCTTGGCCATTTTCTGATACGAGCTCACCACTTGCCAGGTCAAAGTGACACGGAGCAAATTCATTTCAGAAACTGCGACTGCACTTTAACTGAGGCTCTGTGGCTCGTACGGGACTCAGTCAGTGGAGTTTGAAGTGCTGTAATGCAGCACCCAGATATATAATTTCTCCCAAGCACTAAATTGCGATTATTAAGATGCATCATTTTTTGAAAGCTTTTTCAAATTCTGCTCAGAGGCATCCGACATACGCCAGTAAGAGACGGACTGAGGGAGAGACTGGGGCAGATCCGTCGCTGCTTCTGCTAATTTCACAGTGGAGATAACATCAAGGTCACATCTCCTCGCCGAGCTCTGAAAGGAATTCTGCCACACGGAGAAAGAAAAATTGCTAATTAAGGTAGACGTATGTGAGGCAGGTTAATGGAGAAAATGTTCATCAGAAACAATTACAGCTCTTCATCACAAAATAACTGCCAGGATGAATTTTAAAAGCCACAGGCTGATGATTTTCCCTCCGGTTCATTCTTCACTTGAACACAATGAACCTGGTTAAAAAAAAGACTAAATACAGAGAAGTCCATTGTTCTTGCTTCTGGGCCAATTTACCCTCTACCCTTATAAAGGATTTATAAATGGCTTATAATTAGTTATTAAATGACTGTTAACACTTTATAAATCATTATAAACAAGTTATAGAACAGTTTTCATACACTGATGCAGGCTCACTCTTCAGCAAGATCAAGTTAATGCTTACTACTCATTAATCTATATACATCCTCTGGATATATGAACATATAAGTTTCTAATATATATGAAATAGTAAAATTTGTATATGTGTATATATATAAAAAAAATATCTATGTGATTAATTTTTACATAGGACGCTTATGTTTTCTATGTCAAAAAAAAATTATGTGTTAACATGATATATTTAATTTATTTATACAAGTTTATTAAAATGACATACATGTTAAAAAATGTATGTGTGTTTATATATGTTTTTCTTACTGTCTCAGACTTTTGGACTTTACTGTTGCAGAAATAAAAACAATATAGAAATACATACATAAATGTATATATTCGTATAGGCTAGATATATATTACAATATATGAAATTGTTCCAATTTCTAATAGGTTTCATATATAATTTTACATATATGTACATATAAAATAAAAACGTACTGTATATTGGAAATTCAGTACATGTACATATATTACATTTGCATATGGATTCACACTCGTTTCTGCTGTGGTGCAGCAGAGAATTTGTGTCATATAGACTCATATAGACCTTTTTTTTATTCCTACAAAAAGGTTCAAGCTTGTTTTTGTTTTGTTTTCTATTTTTTGTGAGTCAGTAAATTCAGCTCAGAATCAATATTTATGTATCCAAGCGCCTCCTCAGTCAGCCGGCCTCCCGGAGCGGCACGAGGAACCGCCGACAAATTTCCATTTAAAAAGTCACTGAAGTTATAATTCACAATGTTCCCGTTGCTAAGTGATAAATCAGAGCCGGGACAGGCCCATAACAGTCCAGAGGGAAGATGAAGGGCGCTGGTGCTTCTCCTCATAAACATGACAACCTGATTGAGGAAGGATGAGATGAACGCCACCACCACCACCTCCTCCTCTTCCTCCACCCTTATTAGTCTCATTGTGTCCGCGGATCAGATCTTTGTTTGAGTGATAAGGCAGTGACGGGAAGTGACGCCGGAGGGATGATTTTAGAGGCTGATGATTAATGATAATGAAATGAAAGCGATAATTGTGCCGGAGATTTGATCTTCCATCAACAAAGGACCTCAACCCACAATTTTTTCCCCTGAATTTTGGTCTTTTCTTTCTCTTGTCAGTGGTAATGAAGCAATTATTCATCCCATCTGGAAACTAAACATCTGTCTCTCACTGAAGGTCACTCTCACATTTTCTCTCCTGCTGCTGTTTGCTTTGCAGAAGCTGTTAATATTAAAAACATAATGGGGAAAGTTAAAGGTTCTTATGTGATTGATTTCAGTTCAAACTTCTGAAAACTGAAAACACCAGATAAACCTACATTACATTTATTTTAAACGTTAATGATCAACGTTATGATGACGTTGACCACGGTGCATTTAGTTTAGATATTTCTGATCAAATATAGTAGTATCCTGACACACCGCTGACCACTTTGTTTAAACACTATTCAATTACAACATTATCACCATAATCACGAATGTCGCTGACTGACTGAGTGATCATAGTTTCACCATTGGTCTGCCGAATGCCACATGGCTGAGTAGGAGTCTCCCTATTGGCCACCTCTTGAGGAGGTCCTTAAGTTTTAAAAGTAAAAGAAGTGCAGAATTATATAGTTGGATTATAATTATAAATGCATTCATGTGTAATTCTAATGTACCTGAAATAAATGTTTGTGCTTGTGTTTTTATTTATGTATTTTCTAGCAAAAGCTTCTCAGAACTTTCTAGCATGAGTTATTATTGATATTGTGAAACTCGGTACTGCTCATTGTTGAATTCTGGGATTCGGCTTTGCCGATGGCACAAAAAGGAAATTAGGGATCTTTAACAAAAACTCCCAGCTGTTCTAACATCATCAGGTTTCTCTGCCCAGAAAGAATCTATTGCAAACACTTACATTTCTTTCCTTTTACTTTCTTCTTTCCGTCTCCATCTCTTCAGGACTCTGGGCTACAAGAACCGGTTCGTTCGAGTTCCTGACGGTCACTTCTGGATCGAGGGGGATCATCACGGACACAGTCTGGACAGCAACAGCTTCGGACCGGTAAGAACTGAACCCACCGCCCTTTGCACAATATGGGTCCAACCAACCAGTCAATACATTAATTCATAAATGTAATGTACAGATTGATCACATTAGGCTGCCTAACAGACACAGAGCTACTGCAGAGTTACACAACAATAAAAAATGGAAATGAAGCTAGCGCTAACATGAGACCTCTCCTAGCCTGCCCCCCTCCTCGTTACGCTCTGCTAAGCCCTTCACCTACATCCTCGTCGCGTTCGCCGTCTCCTCTGATGCAGGAGTCTGGAGCTCACTAGCCTGTGAGTTGGCGTCAGTAGCGACGTCCTCCAGCTGAAAGCCTCGGTGCGGGAGGAGCAGTACAGACCTGAAGCGAGTTCACGTATTGATCGACCATTGTCAGCTCCCGGGAGGGAAAATCTCTGCACTGCTGCCAGAGCTGTTCAATGAGACTGAGTCACAGAAGCCTCTGACAGCACCTCTCCACGTTATGTTAGATATGTTCTGGAGCTTATCTCAGATATATATATATAAAAAAAAAATACATATATATATAAATATATATACTGTAGCTTTAACTCATGGATTTAAGGTTTTGTCCAAAACATACCCAATACACAAAAACCCACTGCTTTATTACATACATTAAAACATTATCTTAATATGATAGCTCCATGTTTTCTTCTTCTTCTGTGTTTTATTTGAAGTGTTGATCCATTAGAAGATATAAAAACCATCTCAGTGTATCTCCTCTCTCAGGCTTCTCTCTGGAGCTCTAGTAACAACAGTTCGGTGAGCCAATCAGAAGAGAGGAGGCTCTGAGCCTCTCTTCTGATTGGCTGACTGTTTTCTGAGTGATCCAATATAAATATAGCAGATTTCAGGTAAAAACACTCAGAGAAACCAAATCCTGCAAGGTTTGGATGGTGGGTCCAGGTGGGCGGGGCTTGGTGACTGCTTTGTTGTGACATCACAAAGTTCCAGAAGTCCTGACGGCTGGTTTTAAGGCTCAGTTTCTGAATACAGGCTGTGTGCATTTCTCTGTGGACTGAGGCTTTGATACTTTCACAGTATTAATATAGAAGCTAGAGCTGATCTATAATCACACTACACATGGACATCTGCCTTTAGATTGTATGGGACCTTTAAGGTTTTAATTCTTTCATTTATATGGAGGACAGTTTGGTGACATATAAAAGCCAAGAAGGCAAAAGCTGTTGTCTAAGAGTCAAACATATTTTGCTGTTAAAGCCTCAGTTAATGACGATCGTGAGGGATGCTCACCCCGTCTTCTCACAGTGAATCCACTGATACATTTTCATGAGAGGTTGCCTTTTTAGAGGAGATAGAAATTCAAGGGGAGGTGGTGTGGCTGTTTAGCTGCACTGTTCTTCAGTCACAGATGAAACTGATTAGTTACTGTGGTTGCAGTTCACACTTCTTCTTATGTTAATTTAAACTGGTTTGAGTCTTGAGTATTTGAGACTAGTTTTAGTGATCATCGTCTGGTGATGAGCAGGAATGTAAACATTTTGTTGAGCAACCCGTCCTGTCTGATCTTCTTTGAAAGTGACATTCATGAAACTGCTGAAATCCCTGATGTTGACTCAGCTCTTGACCACTTTAAGTCCATAACCACGCACCCTTTAAAAAAACAAAAAACAGGGTGCAGAACAGGTCAAGTCCCTGGTTCTCAGCTCAAATCTCATCCTCGCTGAAAGAGAGAAATAAATCCTGGGCTATTTCCAGGTGAACTGGCAAGCCCGGTCACTGGCCGACTTTCAGGTACTTTAGAAACAAATGCACAGCCGCAATAAGGCAGAGTAAAGTTAATTATAATTTGCTTTTAATTCCCGATTCATATTCACATCCATCAAAACTGTAAATTCTCTTAAACGGAAGTCTTCACCCTCATTTCCTCCTCTCACTTCAGCTGATGGATCCTCGATATCAGATCATAAAGAGACTTGTGTTGCTTTTAATGAATTTTCCAGCTGCTGGCAGCCACTTTGAAGAAAACTTATCCAGGACCCCCTCTGCCCACTCTTGATCCTGACTCTCAGACGTCGCCAGGGCCTCATTTTACGCTACAGCTCCTCTCTTCCAGTGGCGTGGCCAACACCTTAGTCGCATTATATTTCAAATATTCAGTTGCTGACAGCTACATTACATATATTTTTAACTTTCCTGTCTTATCTGGTACAGTTCCCACAGTTTTGAAGGCTGCATATGTGACTCCACATTTATTCTAAACAGTTACTGGCCTTTCTCTAAATTGACGTACCTCGCGAAAATACTTGAATCTCTAGTAAATGACAAACTTAAATCATTTCAGCACTCTCTATTTTAAGTAAACATTAATCTGGTTTTAGAGAAAAGCACAACACTGTTACTGACAGTTCAACTTGGGATAATAAGCAACACTGCGCAGCTCTTTTTATTGATCCTTTCAAAGGTATTCAATACAGCTGATCATGCATTACTCGTAAAAAAAAAACAAAAAAACTTAATATTGGTTTTGATGAAGTTGTGTATAATTGGATCCAGAGTTATCTCGTGGACAGACAGCAATGTGTAGCAATAGGAAGCGTTAAATCTGAATTTGTTCAAATTGCAAAAGGTGTCCCACAAGGTTCAGTCATAGGACCTCTTCTGTTTACTCTTTATATACAACATTGTTTCTGCTGCAGCTGAATATAATATCAATCTCTCTGCTGATGATATTGTTTTTTACATTGAAGACTGTACGATCCTCTGTAAAATCTCTCCAGAGTTGAAGCAGCTTCCATTTTAGATTATAGTGACATTCAGGCATGCAACTCTCAAGGTTGGGTGCTCCTCGCCTGTCTGAGAGGCATGAGTTGCATGTGTATTTGTTTATTTAAAAGGCCCTGATTGGAAAGCTGCCTTCATACATTATTTAGTTCATACTCGCTTGGAAGATCTGCTTTTGACTTCTTTGCACCATCCACCTGCAAGTCACCATTAAATATGAATTTGTTGATCCCTCTTAGTCATTTTAGATCCATAATCTCCGACCTTTTAACTTCTTTTTGTACCTGCTTTAATTGATCTTATATTTACATTGTTTATTAATTTTGTGTATATGTTTGATTGTTTTTCTTTAATTATTTTATATCAGTTTGACAAGTTTAAATAAAGACGTAAATGAGCTTAAGCCTCGAAATAACAACTGTCAAAGACCCTATGAGCAAAGCATTAAACCTGAAAACTGATGGATTCCACTGATGGAAAACCACGTTTGTATGGAAGAGATGGACTGAAAAGCCTAGTGAAAATCCATGGATAAATAAATCCAAACCGTGTGTGTGTGTGTGTGTGTGTGTGTGTGTGTGTGTGTGTGTGTGTGTGTGTTTTATGTCATAGGTCAGGGTTTTATCTGTCCAATCTGATGCTGAACCAGGTTTACCCACAACCCCCTTTGGCTGAAGCGGAGATTTACTGCATCCTGAAGGAAACTGATGTGACAGATGATGCTTCTTGTGTGTGTGTGTTTGTGTGTTTGTGTGTGTGTGTGTATGTGTGTATGTGTGTTTGTGTGTATGTGTGTTTGTGTGTGTGTGTGTTTGTGTGTGTTTGTGTGTCTGTGTGTGTTTGTGTGTGTGTGTGTGTGTGTGTGTGTGTGTGTGTGTTGTGTGGTGGTGTGTGTGTTGCCTTTGAGTATTTCCAACACCAAATCGGTGTCGAGGCCGAGCGTGTTTACAGATCTGGATCCTTGTGTCGACTTGGTTTGTCCGTCCTAACAGATGCTGTAGCATCTGCTTCTCCTCCAAACATAAAGATTTCATTAACTCTGCGTTCCCGGCTCCAGCAGAAAGAGCATTAACACCCTCGTATTGACTCCTGCTCTCCGTGTGCCTTTTGTAGTTTGCTCTTCTCGACTTGAGCAGTATAAAATTTTCAGCAGCTGAGGAGCTGTTTGCTATGGACGGCACATTTACAGGCCCGACAGAAGGCCCGGATCTCCAGCTGAACAGAATCTAGCCGAGGAGCTCAGAAGAAATCCCCCAGAGCTCAAATCCAGAACACATGGATTCAGAGCTCTGCAGAGCTTCTCTGGTTTTACATTTTACTCCCAAGACATTTGTGTGTGTGCCGCAGCAGCAGCAGCCAGACAGAGGGACACACAGACAACCATCCACTGTATTCTTATACAGCATTCATATTATAGCTCATAGAGAGTGATTCAGTTTTGATTTGTACAACTTCAGTTGACACAATTAAAACTTGAGCTGAGTGAAGGATGTGTAGGAGCTTTAATTCATTTACAGGTTGAAGGTTCAGTTACATAAACAAGAACTGGTAGATTTCTGCTTATCGACAGGAAAATAATAAACTTGTTGATCTCATAAATTATCAGCCTGCAGACGAACGGTTTATAAACATAATTAGGCATTAACCTCTTTGTTTCCTCCTGTCAGCATCGTAAGCTTTAAAATTATTAGTGGAAGTTGTTTCTATTATTTCATCCACCTGCTGCATATATATTCTGTCAGACATGCTGCACATTTTATAAAATAGTACGTACAGGAAGTGTTAATGAGTGTGAGTATGTGCACGAGCTGGTGTCTCCAGTCAAACACTCGGGTTTGCAGAAACACTTTTAAGGTTGCAATGCCTCCGTTTCGATTGCTGGCAGTTGGTTTGTTAACACATAAAAATCAAAGCAGATGGAGGAATGTGGGAGCGTCGGGGTGCAAGGTCGGAGCTACTGTAGCTATTTCCTGGAAGCAGCGAGCGCCAGTCTAAGCTCAGTTAAAAACATGAAAAGTCTCAACACAAAATAGTCACTATTTGGGTTCATGACAGGTTTCCATTTGATTACACTTCATTCTTATTCAGCTTGACATTGTGTTCATGTTGGCTTTTTTATTATTGTTATAATTATTGTAATTATTATTATTGTATTTTGCTTTAACCAATCAGTAACAAGTGACATATGAATCCTGCTGACTCAAAGCAATTTGGCGAAGGTTATGGAGAAGGATGATTTCGGTTAA